TTTTTTGGCAGCTAATTAGTGACGTTTGAATTAATTAAATATCAAAAAGGGCAATTTCATGGAAATTTTCCCAACGATTCTCCAATTTGCATTTGTGCACTGCCAGCGGTCGTCCATGGCGAGCCAGTTAGATGAAATCTATTGCATTTTATTCGAAATTTTATTCCCATGTTAACAGTTCTATTATCCTTGCGGCTATATCGAAACACTGCCCCTCCCACCTCGATTTGCTAGCCCAACGAACTGCGAAGCCGTCGTATGATAAATCGCGGCATTTACGTGTGTGCGCCCAGGCAAATATATCAGCCGGGCAAGGTCATAAATATTAATTGTGTTTCGGCGGAGGGACTGGCAACGGAGCTGGGAGCACACTCCAAACACTGGGGGAAAACAGTCTTATAAAAATATAACTTTAAATTTATTTAATGGCATTTTTTTAATTATACCTCCTCTTATTTAATATCCCCTTGTTATCTTGGAATTAAATTAAAGTAGATCTAAGTCAAAATAAATTAAAGTGTTGCAGTGATTAAAAACCGCTATTAAGGTTATAAATACTAACATAAACATACATTTTAAAAAGGTAACTTGTCATGCCATTACAAGGGAACTTAAAAAATAAATTAAATTAAAAAAACTCATTTGATTTAATCAAAAATGTTACAATGATGAAGCCATTAAAGATGTTATAGAAATGCTTTTAAAAAAGGTAACCTGGCATCCGATTCAAGCAAACCTTATAACTTTGTTAGAGCGAGTTTATATAAATAAATCAAGATTCCAATCGATAGCATCGTAGTACTTTTCCCTGTGCATGGGGAGTGGGTTCAGGACCTATCCTTAGTTTGCATGTCTCGCCCGATGTGTTGTTTTTGCTTTTGTTGTTGCTATTGTTATTTGTTGTTTGTTCGTTGTTGCTGTTGTTGTATTATTGTGGTGGCCTGTGCCCGTTGGCTAGGTGTTGTTGCCCGCTGTTCCCGGTTCGATGCTATTATCAATCGATCGAACGCGAGCTGCATTTGCTTAGCGGTTTGCGCATGAACGAGCCCCAATCGAAGGCAAATACATCGCATATTGCTAATAAATATTCAGCGTTCGAGTCGCCGCGCGGCACTGGATTATGTTGTGATGGCGCACCACCGATGTCCTGGCCCCCAAAAACACCATTGACAAACTGTGGTATCGCTGCCCGGTGTTTGCAGAGCAGCCCAGCCAATAGATGTGTCCGCAAACTTTCATTAGCCCGGCTTAAACTTAAAGCCAGCTTCAAGTCGCCTGCGGTCAGGAGTTATTCATAAGCGTCCAGTGGATTGGAGTCGAGTCGAGTCGAGTGGAGTGGAGTGGTCGAGTGCAGTCGAGTGCTGCTGTGATTAATATCCAAGGAATGCAGTTTATTGTTGCGCGACGACAACGGCAACGAAGCTGCAGTTCCCGCTCTTGCTGTTGTTGTTGGTACTGTTGTTGTTGTTGTTGCACTGGACTGCACTCAGTGGGCTGTGGGCTGGGGGCGTGGCAGTGGCAGTGGGAGACACAAGGCAGGAAGGTAGCACCATACACATGTGCTGCATGACCCCAACGGACCCCACACTATAAGAAAATCATGCTATAACTTATTTTAAGAATATTTTAGAATTGAGTGAGAAGAGAATACATTCATTTCTAACTTAAACTTCAAATTTCTAATATACAATATTTCTTTGAAAATTATTTGTTAATGTGCTTAATAAGTTTAAAGCTTTATAACACACAAACAAATCAATATATTAATATGATATTAATATAAGGCTGTTTTAAACCTTTGCACTTATCAGAGTCAGACATTTTAAAATTTTTTTTTTGTTTACTAAGCAGTGTAAGAATTTTATACTTTTTTCCTACATAAACCTCCAACATTTTTCAGTGTATCAACATTATGAGGAACCTCGCATCTTTTCTTAAGGCCGCGAGGCGACGCAAATTTGTGTGCATTATATCTTTCCTTTTTGTTGTATTTTCCTGGATTTTCTTAAAGTATTTTTTTGTTGCCGTTAAGGTTTTTCCTCAGCTATTTTAGCTCAGTTATAAATTACGCCGACCGTTCGCACGAGTGTGTGTGTGTGTGTAAGTTTGTTGCATAATCTGAGTGCTGAAATCTTTGGCATCCACTTGAGAGCAAATGCAAACAGCGCTGGCGAGGATGAGACGGGTAGGCATCTGGAACCTATTGTTCTAGAGGCCCCACAATGGAGTTGGGGGAAATGGGGGAACCGTGGAAAGGGGGCAGAATGACCGCCACTCTCATAATAGAGTCATAAAATTTTAGTGCGCCGCTTGGCCAACTCACCGCTCGACCCGCGATATCGGAGAACCCCCGTGGCGCCTCGGAGTCAAAACCGTTTCGCTTTGTTGGCCATTGTCCCGGCCATTTACTCGGCGCATAGAAATATATAATTGTGATTAATTATACGACATGAAAGTGCTTTAGATTCAGCATTTTGATGCATTTATTAACCGAAAAATCGCTTCAAACTCTCCACCGGACAATCTCTTTCTCCGCTGGATCTATTATCAATTGTAATAAAAGTTGGCCTTTCGAATTTGAGACTGGCATTATTTGGGGCGTTGCAGCGGCCAGAGGCAATGGATAGGGGAGTATTTATGGATCATTCACGATATGAAGTAAGCCCAAATAAGTAGTTGTGAAAACTTATAATCAGAAGGCATCTTAAGGTTAAGTTTATTTGATTGTGCAGCTTCAGTGGTTTTACCAACTGGTAATAGCCTTAAATTGTCTGAGTAGTTTTTCAGGAGGCTATTTGTAGTTCACTCCACCACTGTTGTTTAAATTTGATACACAGATTCAGGGGTTGTATAAAATCTGCAGCAATTTATAAACGTGAAAATTTGTAATGTTTTGCTATTATCATGGAGTGAAGTTATTCCTTAAGCAAATAGTTATTATTGTTACCCCTGCAGTCTTGATACTTTAAAATAAACATAGGCACTTGATAATTTTTTGTTTTATTAAAATAATTTTTGTAAATTAAGACAAATAATTAAACACCATATAAAATACTTTACCTTTCATCTTCACTGGTTGATTCAATCTATCCCATTTTTAATCTATACCTTCTTCCTAGCCCTCGTTTCCCATCCAGTCGTTCTAGGAGAACCTTAATTGAGTTCATACGGCGCATTTTTGATTGTCAGCGTTGTCATGGCCGGCGGACGAGTCGCCGGCGGACGGAATGGAGTACATCGCGGCCCAGGACAGAGAGCCAGCGACAATGGAGCACTCGAGGAGCTGGCTTCGTTATCACACAGAACATGGCAGCACATGGGAATTGCTGCCTGCCTCCTCCTGGTGACGACTGCACTCCGTTCCGGGGACAATGGATGGGCGGGGAGGCCCTGGGGGGCGGGGCAGGAGCTGTGTACTCAGTCAAGAGCCGACGAGGCAGTGGCACAGAAGTACCAAAAGCAACAGCAGAAGCACCAACAGAAGCAGAAGCAGAATCAGAGGCACTAGCTGAATCAGAATCCCTGACAAGAGCAATCCATCCACAAAGGCAAAGGCATTTCATGCTCATCAAATGCGTTGACATTGAACAATTGCGCGTAATGTTGTCGTACACTTGACAAGCGCGCAAATTGTAGTGCTACCTGTACTTGAGCGGAAATCTTGCTCAAAGCGAAAGCCGTACCACCGGCTGCAGTGGGCCCCCAAAATCGATCTCCGTTTGGTCTAGCCGAAAAGCCAGCCAACTGCTTTTGATGGAAATTGGCAGAGTTGTCTGTCTGTTTGATTGTTGCGACGTTCGCCGTCTGTCCTCTTGGCCGTTTGCTGTGTTGTGGCCTTAATGAAGCGGACGACATTCACCGGACAAGCTTCGTTTCACTGCCCCATCGACTGTGCCGCAGCCAGTTTCCAAATATGCGGCGACAAGTCCTCGCTAAATGCTATCCAGATTAATAAGTCCCGGCCGTGTGGGTGATGTGAGCCGCATGTGGAGCGAGATACGATAGTAAAAGTCAAAAGTCGCCCCGGGCCAGACGTTCTAGGTGATATGTCTCAGCACACTTTAACTAAATTTGAGCTAAAGATATTAAAATTAAGAGTTAAGAGTATAAAGATAAAAAAAAAAAAAACAATTTAATGTTGTTAGATTTAACTAACTAGTTTCAATTGAAGTAAACTTGTAATCCTTAGACCCTTTTTGATTTCTTTATAAATTTAAGGAAACTAAAATATAATGAGCTCATAAATCGTATGAATCAAGAATCCCTAAGGTTTCTTCGTTGAAGTGCAAACGGTAGTTACCTTTCCCATTAGATCGGATTACGAATGATTTCTCAGAGTGCAGCACCCCCCAACTTCGAGTTTCGGGGGCTACCAAATTTGGCCAGGGCAATATTTTGTTCGTTTGGCAGGCCGTTAGAGATTTGCAAAAGGTAAAACTGTAAAATGCATTTCGGTTTGCCTTAAATGGAGCGGGGAAAAGCCAGCAGAACGCACGATAACGAAAGAAAAGTGCAAACATTGTTGCAGCCCCGCACCGAGTGTGCAAATTTGCCTTTCGATGCCGTCCAGAAATCCGCAGGCCGGCAACATGCATTCGCAACTCGAAGCTCGAAGCTCGAAGCTGGAAGTTCGGCTCTGCAACAATGGGGCAACAATGGAAGGAAGAGTGGCAGCGTGGCAGTGTGGCAGCGAGGAGGAAATCTGCTCGGACCGATAATCGCCTGGCACTCGAAGGCTGCTCCTATGATTTTAAGTGGACGGTATTCCGGAGTATTCGCCAATAATTGCAGTTGCAAATATGAGTTTTCCCCCGGTTTTTCCATTCTCAATTTTCCATTTCCCAGGCCTCGGACAGCTGCGAAGTTCTCGAACGGCAATTGCCGTAATGAGCAATAAGTTCCTTCGTTATTTATTCAGTAATTCCACACCTCGTATGCGTATAAAACAGTTTGCAGTTCCAGGTCACTCGACACACCTAGTATTTGCATTGTATTGAAAGATGACCGAACCGCCGAGTGAACGGAAAACTGGCAATTGGCATCGGTATTGGAGTGTGTACCTTGAAGGTTGGGCGGTCTTCAAGGATCCGGATGCCTGCCCCCGACATATTATTTCCTACTGGACTCGGGACCAAATAAAGTTCGATTTAAATGCAGTTTGAGAAGTTTGTCAGGCCAAAAAATTTATTTTTTAGGGCCATGGGCTTCTACACCAACTCTGAGGAGTGCCGATCGCGCAGAAAAGTTGCCTGGCACTATTTTATAGTGACTCTGCTTATAGTTAGCCTGGCTTCACTGTGCTTTGGAGTGATCGAGTCGATAGGCGACATTGTTAATCTGGGACGAGATTTGGTCTTTATAATAACGGTAGGTAATTTATATCATTCGAAATTTGTTGTCACGTAAACCTTAATTCCTAGATCATCTTTATTTTCGGAAGGGTTGTAATTTACATTCAGCATGCTGATGATTTCGATGAGATAATCGATACCCTCGAGGACATTCATCATTGGACAATTAGGAACGCAGGAAGCAGGGAAGTGCAACATACCAAACGTTTACGCTTCTTGTTCTTTACGGTCGTGATAGTGATTTGGTTTTTTTGTCTCGTGCTGTTCATGTTGATAAAAATATCAACTCCTTTTTGGATGGAATCGCAGACACTGCCCTTCCACGTCGTTTGGCCCTTTCAACTTCACGATCCATCGAAACACCCAATTTCCCATCTTATTATCTTTGTGAGTCAGGTCTTTACTTTGTCATATTTTCTGGTTTGGCTTTGCGGAGTGGAAAACATGACCATATCCGTATACTTTGAGTTGACTTCTTGCTTAAGGACTCTCTGCATCGAGTTGCGAAACCTCAAAAACATTTGCCATGGCGATGAGAATCTGCTAGAGAGGAAGCTTATTCGACTTATCCAGTTCCATCAGGAAATCATTCTGTAAGCCCATTAAAAAATTTCAGTTACTTAGAATTAATTTGTTACTCTATTTTACTTACAGACTCAGTGATCGTTGTAACAACATTTTAAATGGAGCATTTATCATGCAAATGTTGGTAAATTTTTTTCTAGTCTCTTTGTCGCTTTTTGAGGTTTTGGCAGCCAGAAAAGATCCTCAGGTTGCAGCCGAGTATCTGACTATTATGATAATGACTTTGGGACACCTGTCCTACTGGTCCAAATTCGGGGATATGTTTACCCAGGAATCGGAGGAAGTGGCCTTAGCTGTCTACGATGCATTTGACCCAACTGTTGGTTCTAAGAAAATCCATCGAACCTTCATCTTTTTCATACAGAGAGCTCAAATGCCACTGCTGATGAGTGCAAATCCCTTTCCGCCTTTTAGCATGCCGAACTACATGTTTGTAAGGAATTTTTTAAGTTGCTCCTTTGTAATACATTAAAAATATTTTCTTTTTCAGATACTGAAGCAGTGCTATTCAATTATGACCATCTTGGCTAACACATTAGAGTAGATTTATTGTGTTTTTGTAGCATAATTTGAAGTCACTTTAAAATTTACTGTTCTAATTGGCAAAAAAAATTGACCCAAATTTTAATAAAATTCTTTCGGTATATAATAATCTATATACTGACCATTATAACCTGTGTAATGAATAAAATATAGATAATTTTAAGTAAAAGTTCAAGACAAAACACAAGTTTTAGTTTTACCCTTTTGATGATAATGAAAGCTGAAAAATATATTTTTTAGGATTTTTTTTCTAACCAAACCTCTTAAATGTATGTGATGTAAATGCTTTATTTCTCTAAAAACTTTATTAAATCTTTATAGTCTATGATTTAGATATCCTCAATTTTGGGCCACTAGAAGAAAGTTCTGCACAGAGTCTGCATTTTATGCATGCGACCCCGAAAGGTCACCACTGCACTCGTTTCAACTCCGAAGAGTGGTCCAAACCGGCGGAAGATTGGGCTCATAAATTGCAATTGTGTGCGGCGCTCGAACTGGAAGCTGGTTTTCTTCGAGACCGATGGTAGTTGGCTGCTGGTTGCTGCTTTCCGCTCGCTGGCGTTTGACTGCTCCGTCATTAGCTTGATTGAATCTTATTGTTGGCAATTAACCTTCGCTGCGATGGGGCCAAGCGTCTGAGGGTCTGTGGGGCTACGATCCTGACATTCTGCAGTGTAGACGAGTCGAATAACTTTATTTACCACGACAGCATGGCATAACATGTCATTTGGCTGCACCACTCTAATTGCCAACGACGTACAGCCTTAAATAATTAGCAAACGCCAACGGTTCGGGCCAATAAACAATATCTGATATGCGCATAAGTCTCATTTGCATCTGCTGAAAATAATAAACCTGTTAGGAAAAGAGAAACGCACTCCAAATATGACTTCGAATAAGAAAAAACTTGATTAAAATATATGTACATTTTTTAACTTTTGTGAGAAACATTTAGATAAAAACATTTTTATAACAAATTGTTTGATTTGATAATCCTACCTTAAAGAATTAAAGATTCGAACAACAAGTGTTTTTTTTTTTTGAAGAAATTAAATTGTAGCACTTAATGTTTCATATGTTTATAAAATAATTTTTTAATCTAGCCTGAATCCCAAATTTCAGTCTCCACTGTACGGCGACAAAGTTAACCAGCCACCGATTTGTCAGACTGCAGTTTCTTTTCTCGTTGTGGCTCATTTAAAACCCACTTCCTACTTACGTTTGAATATTCGCTATTGCAATTGCGATTGCATTTCGCTTGTGTTTATTTACTTAGACGACTCCTTCGGCTCCCCCTTAAAGCCCCTGAGATCCAACTGTTTAGCCGTTTTCCATCTAAATTGCATGCAGCGCCTTTGTCATGACATGACAGCAGCCTAATTCATCATTATGGCTACACAGGATCGGTTTCGGGCATCGGGGATTGAGGAGGATTGGGGATTGCGGATTGCGGATTGAGAGAGTTTTGTCGCGACTTTCGCTAGACGGCTGGCATGAGATGCGGTTGCCAAGTTGCAAGTTTTGCATCTGAACAGCGATCTCGGTGGAGTCCGACGTGATTCATTCATGCGCAGTAGTTGGATTTTTCGCTTGCATGCAGCTGGCAAGCCACGATGATGATAATGATGATGCATGCGCCCGGTCTTAGGAGCTGGTTAGAAAAGGATGGGAGGATGGGAGGAGTGGAGGCACCATAAGATGCACTTTAGAAGGCAAAAGTGCACTGTCGATAGGCTGATGATTCGCCTGTCGACATTCAACGAGCCGGGCCAAGACGACGACATTATCGTCGGCAGAAGTCAGGGATGTCAGTGGGAGCTTCGGGACGAGCTCGGTTATTTGTATGGTTTATTATCTCCGCACAATATCGCTCATTGTGGGGGCTTGTCGCAGGGGCCGCGGGAAAGTTATTGAGGGCCCAAGCCCCTCGAAGTGAAACTTCTGAGACGCACACTCCAGTCTCGGAAAAGTATGAATCTGACTTACGACGCAGGATTTAAATGGGTTCAAACGGAGTCAAGTACACTTGGGAAAAGTCTTGAAATGTGTGGATTTCGAATTATTCTTTAAAGTTTATAATTAGAGGAAAGTGCAACAGTGGTATAAAGTCCATATACTTTTGCTTTAGATTATGAAAAACATTTGTTTACCCAATAGTCTTTTTTATGCAAACTTTTAATTAGCAAATACCTAACAAGAACTTAAAAGTTTGACATAAACATGGTCAGAAACTCATTTCGTTCCATTTCTTTAACTCTTTTTTCTTGTAGATTATTATTGTTAATTATATCTACTTGGGGAACGATAAAAATACTCTTCTCCTATGTACCTCCTTTTAACTATATTCCCTCAGCTGCCAAGCGAATCAGTGAGTAGCTGATCTTATCACCTGGCCGGAATCGTGTGACATTGTAAATCGTTGGGAATAACCGACCCAGTTAGCAGACGGAGCTCTTCGGCCGCTTTTCGTACAGCCAATTTGCTGACATGCGCCGATTCCCGCGAAAACAGCGAAAAGGTGTCAGGCATTCGGTCCGGATTCGGTGGCCGGCCTCTTAATCATCGAACCGAGCAGGACAAATGCCATGCACGACTTCATTATTAGGCAGCCCCCATATGCACATCATCATCGTTGCCATGGACTCGTGACATGGCCCCCAGATTGGGGCTAGTCTGCCAGAAGTAGCAACAACAGCAACTCTCTGATTAGTTTTCCACAGCTCTTGAGCTCCTCAGCTCATTTCCCTCTCATCAAGACACGAAAATGTCCCTCAAATTTGTTTGTCAACTCAGCGGAGGAGCGGAGGGTCCATTAAATTCCTCGTGGCTTCTGGTGGCTGTCGCTAATGAAGTCATAAAACCGCATGACATTTTCGCTGCCTCCGAGGAAAGCCCCACGGATCTCACTTTTTGTCAGACGATCTTGTTGGCCATGTCCACACACAATTGCCTGCTGTCCGGGGGCAGTTCAATCGTTCCAATATGCAAATGCCCATTCACCCGCCGCCACCCACGGATTAAGAAAGAAAAAAAAATACAAGAGGAGAAAAGAGCGATCCATATGACCATATGTTCATATCGGGAGTTAAAATCTTTCGCTTTCGATTGCGCCGAGCTGCGCCCTCCGTCCGAAAACTTCGCTCCAACTCAACTCACTTCGTCTTGGCCCGGCTTTATCTGCTTCGAGCCGATTTTCTGCATTTCATTTCGTTTCGCCGGCTTCGCTTCGTGCCGCAAATATGCAAAAATGCTGCAATCTGCGGACAGCACGTTCGGAGGGCCTTTCGTGTCATAAATGGCATAAATATTCCTTCTTGACCGGGCAACCTAAATATTTCCAGCTCCGCAGATGCTGCTTTCCTTGCTGTGGTGAAGGGAAAAAAGCATTTTATAACAATACAAACTTTCACTTTTTGCTTGGCTTTGGAAGATCTCCACCGAAATCGAAATTAAATCGTTTTTCATTTTTATGTACTCGCAAATTTATTGATCTTCGAGGAATAATGAAATGGGGAATTATAAAATAACTAATTTAATATGTTAATGGGTTGCAGACATTAGAATTCCGCAGAGCAGATGTTAAGTTCTCGCGTAGTAGTAATTGCCTTAAATGGCAATAATTTGTTGCTTATTATAACACAGGAAGAAATGTATGTTTTTTTTAATGATTTAATTAATAAAACTAAAAAAATTCAGATACCAAAACTTTTTTTAAACTGAGTTATTAAAAAGCAACTTTAAAGAAATACATTTTGAAGAACGTTGATTTCAATGCTTTTAAAATTTGTTATTATTTTGGATTTGTTTTTTTTTTCGTGTATTTCTTGGATTATATTTAAGGGGACTTTCCATTCTTGAGAACTCAGAAAAAAGAATCGCTTTGAAATGGATTTGCGTAGCAACTTGCATAGTTTTTTGGAGTTCTATAAAGTCGGATGGAAAGTGTATAAGGATCCTGAATTTGAGCCCAATCACCCTGCGATTTATTTCTTCAGGGAACAGATGAAGTCAGGGTAATAAAAATAATTTCATGACATTAAAACCATTTAAAATATATTTTCAGAGCAATGGTTCTATACACCACCTCAAAGGAACGTCAGCTGCCCTACCGATCCATTTGGCACACTTTTGTGCTTATTCAAACTTCTGTGTTTTTTGCTTCAGTATGCTACGGCTTAACGGAATCGATTGGGGATAATGTTCAAATCGGCCGGGATCTTGCTTTTATAATTGGGGTTCGCTTAAATAAGAGAGTTTAGGAGAAAAGAAAAGGAACTAATAACTTTGTTTTCAGGCTTTTTTCATCATCTTCAAGATGTTCTATTTTCTATGGTTTGGTGATGATCTCGACGATGTTATCAACGAACTGGTAAAACATCATCCTTGGGCATGGAAAGGTCCTGGATGTGTGGATGTTCGGCCTTTGAAGCGATGGTCCTTTTGCTTGGGATTTTTCTTGGCGTCATCTTGGTCGTTTTTTCTAATAATTTTCCTTTTGTTACTTATGACGACACCTTTGTGGGTTCAACAGCAGAATCTTCCTTTCCACGCAGCCTTTCCTTTTCAGTTGCACGACCGATCGACCCACCCAATAACCCACGCCATAATCTATATATCTCAGAGCTTTCTAATGACGTATGCCATAGTTTGGCTTATGTGCATCGAGGGACTATCCGTGTGCATTTATTTTGAGTTGACCTTTGCCACAGAGGTTCTGTGTCTCGAACTTAAACACCTTCACCGGAAATGCGATGACAATGCGAAATTAAGATTGGAGACGAATCGATTGATCAGGTTCCATCAGAAGATCGTTGAGTAAGCATCAAAGTAAATCATATTTTGATTCCTAATTAATAAATTTAATATATTCTAGAATTTTAAATCGTACCAACCACGTTTTCCATGGAACTCTCATCATGCAAATGAGCGTGAACTTTGCCTTGGTTTCCTTGTCCGTTTTGGAGGCCATGGAGGCCCGAAAAGATCTCAAGGTGGTGGGTCAATTTGGAGTTCTCATGGTTCTTGCTTTGGGACACCTTTCCATGTGGTCGATGTTTGGAGATATGTTATCCCGGGAGTCGTTGAAAATTTCACAGGCTGCTTATGAAGCATATGATCCTGCCAAGGGATCCAAAGATGTTTATAAAGATCTCTGCTTTATAATTCGAAGTGCCCAAAATCCTTTGATTATGAGAGCCAGCCCATTTCCTTGCTTTAATTTAGTTAATTATGCTGCTGTAAGTATTTCAACCAAAATATTTCTGAAACGTAAAACATTATTTAACCACTTTCAGATACTCAACCAATGCTATGGCATCCTGACATTTTTGCTAAAGACTTTGGAATAAATAATAGCTGTAGTAATTGCACTGACCATCAAAAGATTCCCAACAATAAAGTTCGACAAGTGAATTTGATTATTATTTTGTTTATTTCTCTTGTTTATTTTTTTCTTTGTATTTTGTGTGCCTAAATTATTTCTGCACAAGTTAATGAATTTGTTGTGAAAACTATGAAGTATTTGTTTTTGTTTTGTTTACATTTCCACGTAATTAGTTGGCTAATCTAAACATTGGAACATTTTGTGTTGCTCGTAGTAATTTTTTCGCGCATTTTCCGCTCGTCTTTCTTTTGCATTGTTTAATATTTACTTGATGTTTGAGTTTTTAATTATAAATGCTAATTACGATTATTGTTATTGTGGGGTAGAAGGGAGTGGAAAGAAGTGCGTTTAATGAATAAATATTTAAAATACAATATTGCAGTTGTTCTTTCATTTCGTAAAACTAATAAATGCCAAACGAATGCGTTCGAATGAAGCATCCGTAAATCGAATTAATTAACTGGCTTAATCATATTTTATCTCTCGTTTAACTTGTTTGTACATAGCGACGTTCTGACTTAAATGACTAGTCTTTGGTTGTGTTTTGTCGTAAATTGTAATTGCTAAATGAAAACTTGAACTTTGCGTTTGCTTTGAAGAGGAATGTTTTGTTTTCTTGTTTTCAGTTTTTGCTTTTTTTTTGTATTGTGTATCGAATTGAAATAATGCAATATTAAGTGGTTGGAGAAACTTTTAGTTGCACGCTCCTGCAGGTAATTGCAAATTGGAGCGGATTGCAAAAAATATTTACACTTTATGTACAATGGCGCGAGTTTTTGTTTACGTTTGCATTTACATTTACAAATACGAGTAAGTTGCTGCAAATGTTTGATTGTTTTAAGTACTTTTGTTGGCTGTTGGCTTGTTGAGCTTATGTTTGATATGCTTGTCACGGGTTTATTATTACGAGTGCCTATTAAAAAATGCAAATGCTATTAGATGCTTGAGCTCATAATTTGATTAATGATTTAGCAGATGATATAGCGAGTTTGTTTTTCTGCCAGACTTTCTCTTCAATTTTCGCCCCAACGTTCTTCGTTTTTTTTTTTTTTTGCCTTAGTTTTTGTTTCAACCAGAAGCCATTTGCTCTCGTCATGGCCAAAACAAGAGCGGAATGAAGTGAAAAGCCACAAAGTTGTGGCTCAATGCCTGTCCCTAACAGTCCCCAGAATGTGGCTCGGATACATTTGCCCACAAAGCTCAAGCCGAAAATGTCTATTTAAACAAAAAACAAGTGGTAAGTGTTGAGAGCCGTCTATATCGACTGGGGCATACCCTTTTCAAGGGTTCATATATCCCAGAAGGGCAGTAATCAATGTACCCGAAACTTTCCAGGGTGTTTGCGTTTTAAACTTGTGGCATCATCGACAGTCGGCAGTTGGATGTTGGAAGTTGGCAGTTGGGTGCAAACAGAAAGCACGCCCTTTATTTGCTTTAATCCGACGAAATCCCTGTTCTAATGCCGAGCGGCAATAAAGGATAAAACGTGCATGGCATGTAAAGAGCATGTCCTGTGGCCATATACCGCAATTCCCCCCTCCGCTTTCCCCCTTTTCCCTCTCTCCTCTCAACCATCGCCTCTTTCGCCTGTCTGCCTCGATAGTTTGCGAAACGGAAACGGAAGTGACACTAAATTCGTTTCGGTTTTCCCAATTGGCGACACAGACACACGCACACTAGCGCACACCGATACACTGGCACATACACAGATAGGGAGTCCCTGGATGAACTGGCAAAAATAAACTTCACAAAATTGTTACGTGTAATCCCCTTTATGATCTGCGCTCCCATGTCCATGTGCGCTGCATCTTAAGTGGGCCTAAAGACCACATCCACATCCACAGTCACATACACATTCGCACCTCACTGCTGCCAAATCCAGGCGCAGTTCTGGCCCGTTTCTCAGCTGGCTATGACCATGGTGGCCGCGGTGGCTCCTGGTGGCCAGTTGTGGCCAGTGTTCGCCCCAGAATTGCTAGCTTCTTGAGGGAGCGACGAGGATCCCATGGATGAGATGGAGCTGCTGCTGTTCGCCGAGTGGAGCTGCTGGGGCTGGTGGTACTCCGGCTCCTCGTAGGCGGCATCCTCGTCGCAGTCGTGCGGGTACAGCGGCACGTGGTGGTGCGTGTGGTGGTGGTGCGTGTGCGAGTGGTGCAGATGTTGCTGCTGGTATGGGTGGAAGTAGTGGTTCGACTGCTGTTGCTGTTGCAACTGTTGTTGCTGCTGCTGCAGCTGCTGTTGCTGCTGCTGTTGTTGCTGTGGTGCAGACGGTGAGACCGACGCTGGCGATGCCCCACCAGAAGGTGGGTGGGGCAGTGGCAGTGGCAGCGGCAGTGGCAGCACCACCGGCAGCGGTTGCAGACCTCGTATGCTGTCCGCCGGGTGGGCCGTGTAGATGTTGCTCCTCCTCAGGTGGTTGTTGTTTATATTGCTGCTGCTGCCGTTGTGGTGGTGCTGCCCATTGCCGGCGGCACCACCCGCCGCCCCACTCGGCCCGCCCGCACCACTCAGGCCGTTGCCGTGGGCGCGCTTGTTGCGAGACCACCACTGCACGTGCGTGTCTGCAGATGCCGCACAAAAACCACACACGAGATGATGGGTGCCCGAAAAATAGACAGAATGGAGAAAAGAGCGGGTGGGTTACTTGGTGGGTCACAGTTGCGAAAACAGTCGCCGAATGTTGTGAGAGTCAACACCGGTAAAGGCCCCGTAATGGCCAACTGAAGAGTGGCACAGTGGAATAAGCTAACCAAAAAAATTACAAATCAATCAATAATCTAAATTTCTTCAACTTATTTTTTGTAAAATTTTGCAATAACTATTTAAATTGTTTTCAACGATTCTCACTAAATTTCTGTTATTTTTTCAATATTTCGTTTTAAATTTGTTAATCTCTCCCACTGTGCCCCTTTTGTTTGTCATCCGCCCACTGTTTCTGGCCAAGTTGGTCATGTGAGTACTCACCGTTGCGATTGTTGGAGGACTTTTTTGCGCCGGCAGCGGACTACGGCAATCATGATGATGGCGCCTAGCAACGCCGACAACACGGACACGATGATCAACGTCAGCGGCCAGCCCAGTTCTGTGGCCTTTTCTGCAAAAATAAAATGTGGGGGAAAGGGTAACGGTTAGTAACGGGAGCTACGCAGTCCTCAGCTTCCATTTCTGCACTGAGAACAATTAGGTATGTGATAAAAGTATGCCCTTTAATACTGCCTAAATATTTTTAAAGCGGAACTACAAGATATCTATGGTATAAATTTGTGTTTAAGACATCTCCTTACAAAGACTTTAAAGATTTATTTTTATAAAAAGTTTAATAATAATTCATTTGTAGGTATGTTGCATTTCTTAATAAAGAACTACAAAAATCTATAAAAAAGCATTTAGACATTTTAGTTTGGTTTACATTGTTAACCACAATTGAATACCAAAATAAATCTACTAACTTTTTGATTTTCTGTACTTTGTTTTTAAAAGTTCACTTTGGATTGGAGAGCGGTTTTTCCCTCAGTGCACCCAGTTTTGCATTCTGACTCACCTATCGTGCCCTCGAACATGAAGGTGCTCTTGGTGGGCATCGCCCAGGAGCATAAATCACACGTGGTCAGTCCGTCGCTCAGCACCGGCTCGTCGACGAAGAAGGGCGGGCGGGGCGGTGGCGGTACGAAGCGGCCGTTCCACAAGCCCTGTTCGCTGGCATCGAAGGCCATTGGCGAGCCGAACAGGTCGTCATCGTCGTCGAAGATGTCGAAAGTCACGTCGCCAAAGGTGCTCAGGTCCTCCGCCGAGCTGCTGGCCACCAGACTCGCGATTCGCGGCGGGCTGAATGTGGGAAATGCGGAGGCGGATGCGGATGCGGATGCGGTGGGCAGGGCGGATGCGGATGCGGATGCGGATAATGATACAGATACGGATGCAACTTGATTTACAACGTAACTGAGACGCGCATCGTTGCTGTAGTTGTTGTTCGCTACGGATGGCATTTTCCTTGAGTTTTCCGTGGAACGGGCGGGAAGCTTTCCGGATGGATGGGGAACTGGTGTGGAATCCTTTGAAGCTCCTCGCTTATTGCCAGTTATCGCCGCTGTTTGTTAGTCCTCCGTTTGGTGCATGGTGAATGGATTGGGATTGGGATTTTCGCCGGCTGCTTTTTCTTCACTTGTTTTTTTTTTTTCGATTTTGTTGGCTGCAAGGAAAATGCAAACGGAAGGAACAAGTTAGTTTTGCCAATTAAAGCCTTAATTGTGCTGTCAGTACTTTCGCATATCTTTCCACCCCCTCCCCCAAAAAGAAAAGCTTTCACATTTTTCAGGCGTATCTGCAGCTCTGAGTGGCTCTGCTGCCATTTCGCTCGCTAAGCCTGGTACTTTGGTCCTGGCCAAGTTAACATTCCCTCGCATGCCAAACTCGTGTCAGCAATCGTTTCTCAATGACTTTTTTCTACCTATTTCCAATTTGTAACCACCCCACCGACCCCGCCGGCATTTGTATCTTTTCAGCTGGAAATTGAATTTTTGAACAGCTCTGCCAACGCTATCTGCCAGATACTTCGAGTAGCAGAACCACATAGACACACACACACTCACACTCACACACAGAGACGACAGGCCACGGATGTGGATCCAGATCCACATAGGACATCACACATGGCAGCCACTGCTAACGAGAATTGACAGCTTGACAGTTCGATATCGGGCTGGAAGTCAGCATTAGTTACAGTTCTCGATTCTCGGTTTTCAGTGTCTCGAATTTGCTTTATTAAAAACATTCTCCATTGTTTCGACTTCCCTTTTTCCCTTCTCTGTTTTCCATTTTTTTTGTTGCTCGGCACTTGTCTGAACAAACTTGATTTGCGAGGCAATAATCCTGATAAATTAACACTAATTTGCAAGCGCCAAGAGCGGGAGGGAAAAACTCTATTCTCTGGCTAATCGGCAGGTGAAAATAGAGCACTGTGCTTCGTTAGTTGGCCAAGTCCAATGCAGAGTTCTGCTTGGCCAAAGCCAAATAAATCTGTTTTACAACCCTTTCACAAGTTCCTCGTCTACGGCAGCTTCTTTTCTCCGCCAGTTTTTGAACTGACTCCTTTTTGGTTCCGTTACCAACCCATCAAAAGCCGACACGTTTCAGGCATTAGCCGCTCAGGCAGCCGAATTTTCAACGCTTTTCGCTGCGAATAAATGGAAATGCATAACGGGTTGGGCCACTAAGAAAATTTAACCTTTTACACATGCAAAAATATGACAAGCGCAGAAAATAGCAAAGAAAATAAATATCTCTTCAGTGTTTAATGTTTAAATAAAATCCTCTAAAATTATTTCAGTATTTATTAAGGTTTTCTTAAAGGAGTCTTGCAAAAGTGTTTTCAAAATGAATGCGGTAATCAAACCTTTTCTTTTCGTGTACCTTTTCTACTTCCTCTTGCCACGCGCTTAATTATATAAATATACGTTCTGCTGACTAAATAAAAAACATAAAAACGGGCAGTTTTCCATGGAAAGTTTAATTCCACTTGCGCAAATAATACTTCATATGCAGAAATGCAGCCGTGGCAGAGTGGCTGGTGCAACGTGGCCAGGAACATGGGGAGAGTTCGGTGTAAACGATATTTAGTCATTCTTGAAAATGAGAAAACGTGAGGCGCATAAATTGACGCGGACCCCGCAAAACGGGCAGAAAACTGAACTGAACTTCCTTCACGCAAGCGAAATTGCGAATCCAACTGCGAATCTCTTGCTTTTTTTTTCTTGAATGAATGAGCACGGAGTTGGGGGCTTCGAGGGGTACTGGTGATACCGGTGATGAAGAGATACTGAGCCCGGCTGTGTGGGTGGCAGTAATACTTCTTCTTCAGAGCTGACTGCGGCTATTAATAAATTTATTTTCGCTGCATGCTTGAAATAAATTGTAGAGTCACGTGAGTCGTCGGCCTGAGCAGCGCACTTTGATTTGCCTTTGATGGCAGTGGCAATCCGGAGTCGAAGTTGAGTCTTTGGCAATACTCGGTTCGGTGGTGGAGTAAACTGGTATAAACTGCGACGACAGCTGTCAGCTGGCAGTGCGTGGGCTCCATTGACACCCCCACCCATCTTCAACCAACTCCCAATTGAATGTCCAAAAACGCGTCTTCAGTTTCAATCGGTTTTGCGTGGAAACGTGCCTGGCGGCGGCTTCCTCTGTTTGCCAACCGAATATTGGAGTTGGTCGAGTGGGGGTCGCCCACCATTCGGCAAGTAAACAAACGAGAAAAACGCCCAGCTACAGAAATCGGAAAATGAGAATGGAAAAGTTACAATGGGAATGCCCAATCAATAACTGCAGAATGCACAACAATCGATATTCACACATCGCCGCGATGGGAAAAGCAATTACACATGTCCTATTCAATTCCAGGCAGCATCGATTCAATATTTATATTTTCATTCTGCTCCGCTCAACCTCGCCCCCCGAAATCCTCGCCCGGGATTTTAATTAGTGCGAAATGTTTGTACATTATTTTCATTTATATTTCTCGGGCACTTTTATTTGCCCTCAAATATGAGCGTGTAGAAATTAATATTGTAGCAGAGGGTTGGCCAAAAACCAGGGGGAGTCGGCCCAAACTGTGCGAAACAGTCGAGAATTGCCAAAATGTTTATTATGAGTTTTGGGTTTTGAATTAACACAGAAATTCTCTGCATTCACCCCCCATGCAACTTAATTACCTAAATATGTGAGCCAAATAATTCCACATACGCTGGGGATAAACTTAAACTGCAGTTGAAATGAAGTTAAAAAAACAGTGAAATAATTCAGAACATTTAATTAAGGGCTATAATCTGGGGAATTATTTATTGAGTACGCACGAAAGCCTCCGATAAGAGCTGGCCAAAACGGAAAACAAATAAAATTAAATCGCTTTTAAAGGCAATTTTAAGCCACACAAAAGGTCAGGGTAAATGAATTTGTTGGCCTTAAAGCCAGCCAGTGGGACGTTTTAAGCCCGAAATGTCAGAGTCTGTCACATCGGAAAGTCAGGACCCTGGCACAATCAAAAATTGCTTCGGCTGCTCTATTCCATCCTTAAAGTCGAAGAGCAAGACACGGATATAGGACGTGTCTGGCATTTCTTTTTGGGTAAATAAATGTTGTCGTGGCAACGACATAATATTGCACTAATAATGAAGAGGAAACTCTTGGCCAGGTCCGGAATTTCGGTTAGAATAATTGAGTTAGCTGGCTGGCATATTATATAAATTGGTCTCGGACAAAACGAACTGATATTGCTATGCATGAAAATTGAAATTTTATTCAAATGTCCAGACAAGTACTCAGCGAGGGAGATAAAAGTGACAGCCTTCGTTGGATTTACATAAATTATGAGGACGAGATCTACGGCCCCGAGAAACGAAATCATTTTGGAGTGCACTCCACAGAAATCGAGACTCGAGTTTTGGGGGGAAAATTAGTTGATTTGTATGCGCGACCGAACGAAATGAAAACTAATAGAGTTGTATAACGAGTTGCGGCTCCGGGCTGGAAAAACTGGAAAACCGCAGACCTTTATCTTATGTTTAGGCGACCCTTCGGCAGCTGATAAACTTGGCGTTTTATTGCCAATTCAAATTCAAATTGAAATCACCGAATGTGAAATCTTCGGGCTGGAATTTCTTTGTGGGATCTTCGATTCGTTGCGATCGATCGATTTTGAAATTACCGAACACATATGCATAACACTAATGAAGCCGAGATTAGATTCGAGATTTCGTTTAACGGCGAACTTGGGTTAAAGCAACCATTGTTGAGGACCTGACATGTTGGCCAGATAAACCCGAAATGGAAATAAACATTTCTATTTTCGGGAAGATAGTTAAGATTAGGGAACAACTAACAGATAGCTAACAATGGCTGGACCTTAGTAGTCTTGGTCTAATTTTATAGCCCTGTTCGGGATTAAAGTTCGAGATAAGTAAATTTAGAAATTATTGCAGTTAAAAATCCCTGTGGTAAGTAGATTCAGCTACTCACAAAGTTCCCCTTTCAACCGAAAAGCATTGTCTTGAGCCCTCCGAGAAAACCAACTAGTTAATGCTGTCTTGGCTTACGTCAAAATTGATGAAAATTTCCCCCATTTCCCTCTTCCCATGAAGAATACCGTTCAGCAAACTGGCAGACAAAAGCCAAGAGATTTGAGATGCCATCGCTGCCTGATTTTCCCTTTTTGGCATCTGAGCATTTCAGAGCTGACTGAGCCACACACAGCGTGTGGGAGCTGGATCCCTGGCTCTTTGGCTCCCTGGTTCCCTGACTCCCTGGCTGTTCCCAGATTCATAATTTTCGTCAAACAAATCGCTTTATAATCCCTTTTCAAACACACTCACCCAGCCGGCAGACACTTGGCTTCGTTCTAATCCTGAGCTGTCAATAAGACATTAATGCCTCGAGTAGTCTGCCTTTTCGGTTTTGGAGAATGAGGTAGGAGTGGGGGTTGTGATCGAGTTACAAAACGCATTCTGTTGAAAGAAAAAGGACGCTCAAGCCGTAAAACCTCACTCACACACACATACACACACACACCCTTAAAAGATAGGGCTCAACACATTTTCCCCACACTTGTTGAGGAAACATAAAAAATGCAAAGAGGAGTGGGGGAGGCCACTTGAAAAATATCTAGGGTTGAGTTCGCTGCATGTTTATGATATATTTTGTTTAAAATTTAATTTCCACTACGACACAAGTTATGGCTCCGCGGAGCTGGAGGATGGCGAATGAAGGTTGGAGAATGGAGGAGCAGTGCCCGGTTTTCTTTTATTTCTGTTGCCAAGTGTCTAATGCAATTTGCCTGCGAACAAACTCAATAAAGGCTGCCCCGGCTGGGTGGTTACCGGAATCCGGGAGGAGCAGAAGAAGAAGAAGAGGAAGGGGGGAGGGGGAACCATAAGAGGAGCAGGAGCGGATTCAGCTGATAGATTCCCCAGGACAGCCGCGGGCCACACACGCGCAGAAAGGAATAGAAGGCAATAAAGCTCACCTTTTGGCTCGAGCCACTCGGCTCCTCGCAATCATTTTTCTTGCCGGCAGCAGCAGCGGCAGCGCACAGTGGAGCCTCGTTAAGGCATATTCTTCGGGAGATAGGTACTATACATCGTTTGGCATAAACAGACTGCACTGTAGTACACAAAGACCTGGCCTGCAGCGAACAGTTCA